AAAGAAAGAAAGAAAGAAAGAAAGAAAGAAAGAAAGAAAGAAAGAAAAAGAAAGAAAAAGAGAAAAAGAAAAAGAGAAAGAAAGAAAAAGAAATGATGAAAGATACATAGGGAGATTGATAGATCGATAATAGATAGGTAGATCAATGATAGATTAGATAAATATATAGATGGAGATAGATGATAATGATAGATGAAAGGTACATAGGTGATGGGATAGGTAGGATAGAATAGATAGATAGATGATAGAAATGATGGAAGATACATAGAGAGATCGATAATAGATAGGTAGATCAATGATAGATTAGATAAATATATAGATGGAGATAGATGATAATGATAGATGAAAGGTGCATGGGTGATGGGATAGGTAGGATAGATAGATGGATATAGATAGATAAATGATAGAAATGATAGATGAAAAATTCATAGGAAGATTGATAGATCTATGATAGATAAATATATAGATGGAGATAGATAATGATAGATGAAAGATATATAGCTGATAGATAAGACAGGACGGATGGATAGATAGATATAATGATAAAATAGAGATGATGAAATGATAGATGGTTGGATGGATAGATAGATCAAGAGATGAATGGGTGGGTCCATTTTTACATTGACAAGAGCTTCTCTGCAGTCCTTCAACCCACCTTGGATGGTTTCAGAAGCTCCTGCCCTTTCCTTCCCTCTCCTGGCAACCCTGCTGGGGACATCGGAAAGGACAAGGGGAACCCCATTCCATCCATCCATCCATCCATCCATCCAGCCAGCCAGCTCTGTCTCCCTCCACCAGACCTCTGCACTTTGGAGAAAACAAGGGGGAAGCCTGGCTTTGCTGCCCCACTAAAAAAAAACCTCTCCAAAGCCTGGGACCCCTATCCAGCTGTTGCTGCATTGTTCCATTTTATTTTGTCCTCCAGGAAAACAATGTCCGTGCTTCCCTCCCTCTTCAGTGTACACCAGAAGAATATGCCCGCCGAGACACCGAGTGAGTCATTTTACTGCTGCTGCTAAAAATCCACCTTTGCTGCAGTCAGGGAGTAGCCTTGAATTTCAAAATCTTTTGAGAGATTTTCCTGGGTCCTGATGCTGTTTGCTTATGGGTCAACAGAGACAAGAAGCCTTTTTTTCCGGAGTATTTAAAAGAGAGAATTTCGGGGCAGCTACGAATATAGACTTCTCAAATTTTCCTTGATTTCTCCGTCGACTGAGGACAATGGCTGTCAGGGCTGGTGGCTGAGGAGGATGGGTATTGTTACCATTGGAAGCTTAACCGTCTGTGCTCGGGATCTGAGTCAGTTTTGGGTTCTTTGTTGTCTTGCAGCAGAAGCGCCCCAAATCCTGGATTTTTTTTTTATTGAACTTGCAAATGGGGGAAGGGAAAAAAGAATCCCAGATGGTTTGATCTTAAGAAGCCAGTCATTAATGCAAAACTTGAATGCAGTGAGAAGTGAGTGAAGATAAGGTGGTTTATATTGTAATATCTTGAGAACTTTGGCTGCTTTAAGTTGTGTGGAGTTCAGCTTCAGGTCTGGGGAATTCTGGAGAGCTGAACTCCACACAAACTTCTTAAAGCTGCCCGTGGTTGTAAAATACTGTATATTTCACAGCTTTGACCTGCAGGATATTTAATTGCCGCTTGGCAGTTTGAAATAAGCTGTGACATGGAGGGAAGAAGCCGCCATTTCACGCTTTCTAGCTTTTGCTAGAATCGTGGTTGGCCAAGATTAAAAACACAACCAAATGCAAGGAACAAAATGTTTTAAATACGAAAAGGATTTGTCTCCTTTGCCTGGTCCACCACAATTTAGGGAACAACATATTGGCCATTTAATCTCTTTTCAAGGGGTCGGCAGTCTGTGGCTCTGGAGCCTCTGCTGCGGCACCCTGTCACTCAAAATATGTGTCACAACCACCATTGTGCGACCCCCGCTGGCACACGATTTATTGAGCTTTTCAACCCTTGGAAGATCCAAACGGCTCTCTTGAGTGTTTAAGGTTGCCGACCCCCTGGTTTAGGTGGTAGAGTTTCTAACCAGCGTGTCTCTTCGTGGTTTTTTCCTCTTTCTAGGATGGTGGTGGCCTTGTCCGTCACTCTCGGGCTGTTCGTGGTAGAGCTGACCGGCTTCCTCTCCGGGGTGTCCATGTTCAACAACGTTCAAAGTCTGCTTTGTATCCTTCGCAAAGAATACGGGTGTTGGAAGAAACATCCTTCTGGGTTCAGTTCCAAGTGGGGGGGAGAAAGACACTGGAAACATGGAGGCTGTTTGGAAAGATGGTTTAATGGTGGACAGAGCCACGTGCCTTGGAGATCCTGGGTGAAAAGGGAAGAGATGCTGAAGAGTCCCTGGGTTTTATACCCTCTCTGGCTTTGAACTTCCTGGGGCACAGGAAGAGTATCCTGATTGTTTGCTGCCAGAGATCATAGCTAGCTTTGTAGGTTGTCTGTGTGCTAAGTTTGGTTGAAACTTGGCGGGTGGTGCGACGAAGGGCAATTGAATGGCTCTGCCTGAAGGAGGTAGGTCTTTGTTATGTAGAACAGACTGCCCCAGGCCTTAATGGCCCATTAACAAAGGTGGGGGAGCTGAGTTTGTGCCTCTCTGAGTTTCTACTTCTCTTTTAGGGGAAATATTCTGCCTTTTTTAATATTTCCTAGAATATTTCATTTTTCTGGGAGAGAGTGGGTGCTAACTTCCTAAACGGGCATCAGCGGACGGGCTGAGCTGGGCTGGGAGGAGAGAACTTCCTTTCAAAAAAAAAAGCAGCTTAGAAAATGATGTGGCCCTAGAGGCGAGGCGAGCTTCAAAATTGCGAAAGCAAATTGCTCCGGAAGGTGCTGCAGGTAATCCTCGACTTACGACCGTTCATTTAACATGGGAAAAGGTGACTTATGACCTGTCCCCACATCGATGACATCACCCCGCCACTTCCGAGACTATGAGGACCACGGTTTGGACCAGGGGGGGTCAGCAATCTTAAACATTCAAAAGAGCCATTTGGATCCATTTCCCACGGAAAAGAAAACACCGGGAGCCACAAAACTACCGGTGGGGGTGGGGTGGGGGGTGTTTGAAAAGCTCAAGAAATTGCATGCCGGTGGGTGTCGCACAGTGGCGGTTGTGACACATATTTTGAGCAATGGAGCAGCATCAGAGGGATGAAAGAGCCACATGTGGCTCCAGAGCCGCGTGTTACCGCCCCCTGGTTTGGACACTCGGCGACCGGTTGGCGTTTACGAACGATTGGCGGCATTTTGATCCATTTCCCACACTTCCATGTCGGAAAGCGGATGATAATAACGATAATAATTTATTGTACTTTTATATCCCATCTGGCTTCCAGGCCCTACATGACCATTTAATGAAGGGTAGGGATTAACCACAGACTGCAAAGCAAACAACTCTGATGAAGGTCGCCTGCTTTGTGTCAGGACTCCAACAAATCCGCCCCCATTCAGATCACAAGTCTCTAGCCGCATCTCTCAGAGAAAATAAAATCGATTTATTAGAAGTGGCCATGTCGGCGTTAGCTGGGTGCAGCCGACACTAAAATACGACATTCATTTCCCCCTTGACCCTGGTCTTCCCCGCACTCCCTGGATGTATATTCTCCAATGGGACACATCCACAGCCAAGAGTCATCCATCATTCTCTCCAGTAATATTCTTGTGCTCCGACAACTTTGGGCTGCCGGGGCGATTATCTAGGCACTTAAGGAATGCACTGTTTTCCCCCACTCCCTTTCTGCTGGCAGCTAAAAAGACCAAAGGAATATCTTTTTAGTTGACACTTCGATTAAAGGGATTACAGATGATCCTCTAGTTACGACCACTGAACAAGATGGCAGATAAGGGAGTTTGGCCCCCATTTTGCAACATTTCTGGCCACCGGGTTGTTAAGCGAGGCACTGCAGGTGTTCAGTTAGTAACCCGGTTGTTAAGGGACTCTGACCTTCCCATGGACTTCGATTGTCAGAAGGTCACCAAAGGGGATCGCGTGACCTCGGGACGCTGCAGCCGTCATAAATATGAGCCGGTTGCCAAACACCCCAAATTTTGATCACGTGACCACGGGGATTGCTGCCAGGGTCATATATGTGAAAAACGGTCATAAGTCACTTTGAGTGCTGTTGTAACTTTTCTCATTAATGAATTGTAAGTCGAGGGCTACCTGCGTTCCTTCTTATTTTCCAGCAAGAGTTAGGAAATTTGCTACACAATTGCTCCCCTGATCTTTCTTTCTTCCTTCCTTCCTTCCTTCCTTCCTTCCTTCCTTCCTTCCTTCCTTCCTTCCTTCCTTCCTTCCTTCCTTCCTTCTCCTTCCTCCTCTTTTTTCCTTTCCTTTCTTTCCCTCCTTCTTTCCTTTTTTCTCTCCTTCCTTCCCTCCCTTCCCCTCCTCTCCTTTTTTCCTGTCCCTTTCCTCCTTCCCTCTTCTCCCCCCCTCCCCCCCCCCTTCTTCCCTCTCCCTCCCTCCTTCCTTCCCCCTTTCTTCCGCTCCTTCCTTCTGCCTTATTTATTCTTTCTTCCTCCCTCCCCTCTCTCTTCCCTCTTTTTCTCTTTGCCTCTTTCCCTCCCTCCCAAATCCTGTTCGAGCAGAACAACGCGTTCGTTCAACCGCTGGGCCCCAGACCCAGACGGGTGTCGTGGCCCTCTTGCCGAGCTCCAAAGCCCCCCCGCCCCGCCAGAGCAGTGTGGTGGGTGGTCTGCCTTCCATGCTTGTTGTTCTCCCTGACCGGGCCTCCTCTCTTCCCAAGCCACCCTGGCTCACGCTTCCGCCGGAGTCGCACTGCTCTTCTTTCTGTTCGAGCAGTGGGATGGCGGCCTGTACTGGTGGATCTTTGCGTTTTGCAGGTTGGCTGGAGTCCGAGGCTAGCCAAATGAGGGGCTGTGGGAGGGGGCCCAAAGGGGCTGGACGATGTATTTATTCCACCTGTGTGGATATGTATATTCCCTCCTCCTCCCCCTCCCCCCCCCAAAAAATAGGGAGAGTGGCAGAAAATGACCCCAGTGACTGTATTCATACAACAGGCCCCATTACGCCAATAAGTCTGACTCTGCATGGCACGAAAACACACCCTTTGGGCTTAGCAGGTTGTCTGAACCAGGCCTTTAGGATAATCCAACTTTGACCCTTTGGCAGCAAGACCAGCCTCTATTTTTGAAAACATTTTTCTTCTGTCCCCATCCCGAACAAATTCTAAAGTCCTGGGGGGGTCATTTCATACTGAAGATAGCGGACAGTTTCCAAGGCAGGAATCATAATCTTTTTAACGACCCCCCCCCCCCCCCCCGTCTTCCTCTCGGAGGGGGACCCTTGGGCAACTGAATGGAGAGCTGAGTGTTTACAGGCCGGATGCCCTTCCTGTCGCCAGGGCGGAGTTTTTTTTTTTTTAATTCGGCGGATACATTCTCATTGTGCCCCAGAGAGAGAAATATCTGCCTCTACCTAGGCTCAAACTCTCCGCCTTCTGATTGTGAGGTGAGAGCTCCCGTCCCAAGGCAGAAATCCCCCTTTTTTTAAAAAAAAAAAAGAAAGAAAAAGAAATTCATTTGAAAAAAAAATCCCTCCATTGATTTCCCTGACGGTGCCCTTGTTAGCGTTGGCCGCCCACTGCAGCGCTTCCGTCTGCCTCTCCTTCTTCGTCTTTGAGCGCTGGGAGACGGTCACGTACTGGTACATCCTGGGCTTTTGCAGGTAGACGCCCCGTCCCCACGCGGTCACCAATTTGCTCGCGAGGATTCGGATTCCACCCGATTCAGGAAGGGGGGTGGGGTGTTCTCTTTGGGGGTACTGACCCTTCCCCTCTTCCCCCCCCCCCACTCTCTGCCCAGTGCCTTGCCTGCTGCGGTCGAGATCTTCCTGTTCGTCTCCGTTTTCGGACTCAAGAAGAAGCCGCTGTGAAAAAGGAGGACGACGATCCCTGCCTTAAATCTCGTTCGGGTTATCCCAGGGCAGGGAGAGCACCGAAAGAACACGAGTGGGAGGTCAAATGTCCTTCGTTTAGGACTATCAGCTGTTTCTGGTTTTCAGCTCCGCCTTTGCTTGGCACCTCAACGGACAAAAAAGCAGCTGGAAGTTCTGTCGACTCCTTCAAGGGAGTCGACCTTCCTACCGGTAGTATTGTATCTGTGATGGCGCTCCCTATATTTCATCAAGGGCAGCATTTTACCAACTTTGGCAGCTGTAAGATGGGAGCTTCTGGGATGAGAAGCGGAACGTCTTCAAAGAAAACCCAGTTGTCTCTTCAAAAGGCACCTTTGGGGCTTTAAGATGGATGGACTTTCCTTCCTTCCTTCCTTCCTTCCTTCCTTCCTTCCTTCCTTCCTTCCTTCCTTCCTTCCTTCCTTCCTTCCTTCCTGCCTTCCTTCCTTCCTTCCTTCCTTCCTTCCATCCATCCATCCATCCATCCACCCACCCACTATTTCCCTTCCCTTCCTCTGTCCCAAAGGCGATTTTTCAAGAGCCAACTGGACTTTCTGGTTTTCTTTTCGAAGACGTTTCGCTTCTCATCCCAGAAGCTTCTTCTGGATGGTAGGGAATGAGTCAGAGCTGAAGAAGCTTCTCAGATGAGGAGCGAAACCTCTTCAAAAGAAAAACCAGAAAGGCCAGTTGGCTCTTGAAAAGGCACCTTTGGGACAACCATGACCTGGATGACTGAGAATCTTCATAGACAATTTTCCCTTCCTCTATCCTTCCTTCCTTCCTTCCTTCCAACTTCCTACCTACCTCCCAGAAACCGGCTGGGGAATTCTGGGAGTTGAAGTCCACAAAGCCTTCTATTTCCCAAGGTTGCAAACCCCTGTTTTAACCTGAAATCTGAATCAATTGAAGTGGTGTTAATTGTGCTTCCGATAAACATCTCATTTGCCATGTCACAACTTATTTCGTGGCGGAGCTGATTTTTCTCTCTTTCAAAACTACGCAGCCCGAAGTTGCAGTGCGAAAAGCTCGGTGCAAGGATTAAGAAGTGGATCTCCTCCCTTTGTTTAGCCAAAATAGAAATAAACAAACAAATAAAAATCCACTGGTGCTCTCGATTGCATTTTCCCCTGTTCCATTCAAAACAACTTCGCACAAATATTAAAAGTCCTTATATATGTGTGTGTGTGTGTGTGTGTCTTTTGGCATTTTATTCCTCTGTCGATGGGTATTCCTCGATTTATCCAGAATTTCCATTACTAATCAAGGCAGTTAAGAGTTGCATCTGATGTTTTTTTTCATCACTGTTGTTAAGCAAATCACTCCAGTTGTTAGGTGAATCATCTGTTCGTTAAGTGAATCTCATTGCCTTTGCTTGTTCAGTCCTCCTCACTTGGCTGCCTCCTTTTCCAGTTGTTCAGTCAAGCCATTTTTGGGGGGGAAATTAGATGGATGCAACTCAATGGCAGCAAAATCTCAAGCCAGGAAGCTGCTCCGGGCATTTAAAAGAACAACGTCACCGAGCAATTTTTGACTCGGGCGTGACGTCAACCTTATGCAAATTGTACGGCGCATGGATCGCTGGGATATCAGCCGGTGCTGCTACCGGGAGAAGTTTGGATGCTACCGAGAGCAGCGGGAGATGGCAAAAAGAAAGGAAACTGGCGGTGGCAGGGAAGGGGCTCTTCCTAAGGGGGTTTGGGGTGCGGAAAATATCTCCGGGGGTCGCCATGACTTTTCCGGTCGTCCCGCGCAGGGTAGCCGCCACGGCGGCGTTGAGTGGGTATCGTCAGTGAGGTATATCCTTACCTGTTCCTCCTCCGGGAGAACAGAAAATGATGAATGGAGAGGCATGAGAGATGATTAGACTCTCCGCCAGCCGGGGAACAGCAACACCCCGGTTTGCTCCTTTCTGATTTAGCTGACGGTCGTTCGGTATCTTTAACAAAAAGTAGAGTGATTGTGGGAAGAAGACTGACTCGTGTTTCATGTTTAACTGAGGTTGGGTTGGAGAGGGGAAAAGATTTTGAGGACCATAACGTTTTCTTACACAAAGCCATTCCAGTGATTATTATTTTTGAACTACACTTCCCGTCGTCCGCAGCGGCTCAATATCACCGGTTTTGTGCTTAGCTTGGTATCTTTCCACCCCACTAACTTATGTGCGCAATCTTTCTGATTGACTAATGCGCCTTCCTATTAGCACCCGTCTCTAGAACTGCGCGTCGTCGATTGGCTGTCTCACTTGCCCGCCCCCCTTCTCGCTCTTTTTAAATGGTGCTTTCGACTATCATTTCCGAGCCTCTCAAAATGGCCGATTTATCTCCCGAGTTAAGCTTTCTTCTTCGTCCTGATTGGTTTAAAGCGTGTAGACATTTGGAATCGCCTTTCAGAAAAGGAGGCGGGAATCTACAAACACTGGGCCAATCGGGAAGCTCCACCAGGGCTCCGAATCCCACCCGCTCTGACGAATCGGCTTTCCAGGCAGAAGCCCCTCCCCTTCCGCAAAAGGGAGGGTTGTCTAATGACAGTCTGCAAAGCTCGGACAATAGGAAGCCGGCGCCTCGCCGAGGAGGCGGTGCTTGCCCTTCAAACCAATGAAACGGCGCGTTGGGTGACGTCTTGTTTGCGGCAAGCCAATCGGATTCGGGGAGGGAGATTTGAAAAAAAGAAAAAAAAAAAAGAGAGAGAGAGAGAGAAACCCGGCAGTCTCGGCGTGCCTCCGGCGGCGGTTCATTGCGGCCGGGGAAATCGGTAAGAGATGCTTGGGGTTACGAACCGGGTGGCGGAAAACCCCCTGCGAAAGCGTGGCTCGGGCGCCTATCGGCATGGCCGTGGAGGATGGGAGTTGTAGTCCAACGCCCATTGGGAGCGTCGGGGGTGGAGGGGGATACCAGGGGGTCCTGCGAGCGTAACAACCCGAACACTTCCCCCCCTTGCTACCCCTCCCCGGCTTCTGAATGCACCAGGACTACCAATCCCATCATCCCCTACTACGCTGGGGGGGGGGGGGGGCCGGCCTGGGGGGGGCCAGTAGGAGGGGGTTTGCGGGGTGGGGGGGGGGGGTCCTCTGGAGATGGATAATTCTTCCCTAGAACAGGGGTGTCCAACGGTGGGAACTTTTGAAGACTTATTGATTGATATTTTAATGTGTTTATTGATTTATTGAATTTATATTGCCGCCTATCGGCCCGTGGCGACTCGAGGCGGCTTACAGAATGTAAAACCATCTTTAAAATTAAAAAAAAAAAAAAAAAACTAGCCAAAAAATATATATATCAAGGGTTTCCCCCAACCTTGGCCACTTTTAAAACTTGTGGACTTCAACTCCCAGAATTCCCCAGCCAGCCATGGTGGGTATGTAGTAAGCGTAATAGATCTTGACTTACAGCAAAAGCCAGCTGGGGAATTCTGGGAGTTGAAGTCCATGAGTCTTAAAGTGCCCAAGGTTGGAGACCCCTGATTTAAGACTTCTGGACTTCAACTCCCAGAATTCCCCCGCCAGCTCTTCCCCCCCCCCCCCCCCCACACTTTGCTGAAGTCAAGATATATTATGCTTACTGCATACCCACCTTCTATTAAGAAAGTTACTTTCCATGGCTGGCTGGCTGGGGAATTCTGGGAATTGAAGTCCACAAGTCCTAAATCGGAGGTCTCCAACCTTGGCCACTTGTGGACTTCAATTCCCAGAATTCCCCAGCCAGCCATGGAGGGTAACTTTCTTAATGGATGGTGGGTATGCAGTAAGCGTAATATATCTTGACTTCGGCAAAATGGGGGGGGGGGGGGGGGGGGAAAAACCCGGGGGGGGGGGTGGGGGGGGGGGGGGGGGGGGGGAGGGAAAAGACCTGGCTGGGGAATTCTGGGAGTTGAAGTCCACAAGTCTTAAAGCGGCCCAGTTTGGAGACCTCTGAAATAAATGAATAAAGCACAATAGAAGAAAATCTGGCAAAAAAAATATAAATGAATAAAAAAAATCACCCCCAACTCCCACCTGCCCCCAAGGACAACCGATCACACGAGCCATTTGATGGGCTCCATCCCGCTCTGGGTTCCCCAGGCCTGCTGGCAG